ATTTCCTGGGCGAGTTCTGTGTACTTGCTAATTTTTTCAGTGCATGTGTTTTGTACATTGTGAGTGTTTGGAATGGCTATGTCTATAATGTATGTGATTTTATTATGTTTGTCAATGAGTATGATGTCTGGTCTGTTGTGGTAAATTGTTTTATCTGTGATTGTGCTCTGTCATAGTACATTTTGTGTGTTATTTTCCAATACCGTCTGTGGAATGTATTTTTAGTATGGTTCGTGGATGTCTAATAATTTGTGTTTGTTTGCAAGATCTTGGTGTATTATATTTGCTACTTGATTATGTCTGTGTAAATAATGTCTGTGCCATGAGCTTGCACCCAGAAGTAATGTGTTGTATAGTTTCTGGCATGATGTGACGTTTTCTGCATGTGTCATTTGTGAGTGTTGTATCTTTAAGTATGTGTTTTCTGTAGTTTTTAGTATTTATGACCTGATCCTGTATGGCAATCATGAATCCTTCCGTCTCCCCAAAGAGGCATCCTCGATCTAACCAGCTGTTTGATGCAGTTTTGTCAACAGAATCCTGGGCTAGGTCATAAGGATGCCTGCCATGGAGTGCCTTTTGAGCCCACGATTGCTTAATGGTGTCTATGCTTTTTATATGTTGTGTCAAGTCTGTATGATGTGAGCGTAAGTTTAATGGTGTGTTATTTGAGTCTGCTAGAGTTACTGCTTTATGTAATTGTGATGTTTCTTGTTTCCTGTAGAAAAACTCTCACAGTGACTGTGTTTGTTTGTAGTGAAGGTTAACTATGTCAATCAGGCCATGTCCTTCATCTTTACATGGAAAGGTTAATTAATTAATCTTTCTATAGTGGATTTAGGATGATGTAGTTTATGCTTAGTAAGTGTTGTTCTTGTTTTCCTTTGGAGTTGCTCAAGATCTGTGTGAGTCCAATGTATAACTCCAAAAGAGTATATGAGTACTGAGACATATGTGTTTATTGCTTTAACTGTGTGTTTTGCATTTAACTGTGTTCTGAGGATAGCATTCAACCTACTTTGGTATTCTTTAATTAATCTTTGTTTTATTTGTATATGTTCTGTTAGTTTGGCCTGTTGGAATCCTAAATACTTGTAGAACTCACCCTCTTCCATGGATTCAATAAAGTCTCCATTTCCAAGTGCAAACTCTTCTTTCTTCAGGATTCCTTTTTCAATGTGAAGTGTTTTGCATTTGTCTAAGCCAAACTCCATTTTTATGTCCTTGGTGTATGAATGTGTGATTTGTAGGAGCTGCTGAAGTTGTGTGGATGCATAAAGTTTTATATCGTCCATGTACAGTACATGAGATGTGACAGCGTAAACTGTGTTGTTTTTTCATGTCTGATATTGTAGCCATATTGCATGTTGTTTAACATGTTGGATAATGGGTTCAGGGCTAGGCAGAACCAGAGAGGACTCAAGGAATCTCCTTGAAAAATTCCTCGCCTAATGAATATTTC